GAACAACAGGGCCGATGATCTTGTCGCGGTAGGGCTGTCTACCACTATCAAACGGGTCCTCTGTCTTGCTGTTATCCAACACCATACCATAACGCTTCCGCCCCCGAACTGATCTTCTTCCATGACACAATGATTGATGAAACGTTCACCTCGACATCAGTACACTTGAATCCGTCCATCGCTGTGGCTGAGGTGAAAACGAGACTTGTCAGTGAATAGAACTTGTCCCCACTGCATGACCATCCAGCGCAGACACTCTCTGCACCACTGTAGACGTGCTTGACGGTGGTTTCCTGTCAAAATGGGACGTCTTCTGGCGACAATCCCTGCACATCTGAGGTGACGACGTACGGTTTGTGAAGATATTCGTTGAAGGCCAGGGATGCTTCTTGCAGTCACTGTTGCTGGCTGGAATCGATTTTGTAGTTGTGTTGTTCCTATCCAGTTGTCTTGTCGATTATTGTTTACGTGTGGCCTGCCTCTCCGAAGATGGTCTGCATTTGTCTGTTGCCAACGTTGCCATTAACAACAAATGGTTTTTCTGCGGACGTTAAGTTGTCTTGCAACATCAGGTTGACTCGATCCTGCTTCAAGCCTACCAATGGCTCGCAGACGCTCATTTTCTGACAGGCGTGGCATTTCGTAATGTTGAATAATTGCGTATTTTTGTTGTTTTTCTGAGTGGTTGTTGTCAGCATGATGCTAAACAATGCATATGGAATCCCTTTAACTCATGTTTTTATACCCATTCTTGGGTAGTGAAATGCATGGGGCTTGCATAAAAGTCAACTTTTGCATGGAATGCATGCTTGTCTGTAGCAGTTGCGTTTTTGTGACTTGATTCCATACATGTACTACAATATTGAAAACCTGTTTGAGAATTACACAAAAATATTGGTGTTACAGGAACTTTTGTTGTTGAGTATATTAAAAAACATCCTGTACATGGTACTTTTGGATTGCACTGCAGATTTCTTTTTATTACTTTCTAAACTTTTTGTTTTCCCCCTTTCTGACCACGAGGTCTCTTAGCAACCACGCCCCACGAGAACATCCAAGTTGATTGCTGCTTACAACTGTCAGGAACTTTGCAAGCAGGCTTGTCTTCAATATGAGCAACAAAACATTTTCATGTGACGTTTAATTTGACGGAGAGTTGTTCGAGATGATCAGGGAGCCTTTGGTCATTTCGATTATGACATTGGTGACTCTATCGTGGAGAAAGTTCCAATTCAAGATGACATAATTCCAATCGTCAACTTGAATCGACAAGATAGCGCCTCTCTTCCCGCCCTTGCAAGTGCAACAGAAACTTTGACAAATTCTGTGCCTATTCTTGGGATTAGAGCATCAGTGTCACAGTGATATTTCATTGTGGAACCAATGAAGCCGAATATGTATGTTCACACTACTTTTGTCAACCATGTGTGACATAGCACATGCAATCGCAGTTAGGGAATGTTGCGGAATGAAGGCTGTGTACATATCCTTGCATCCTGAATTAAGGAGCCAGGAACTGTTGTATTGGACGCAGATATAGGCGGCCTCTGATTGTCAGAGCCGGGGCTAAAATGTAACCCCAGCAACACTTGCCATTGGTGAAGCGTGCAAGATTGTCGCGTAAGATCTTGAGCCATCTGTCCCTTGGTACTGATAGGAGGTCCTGATCTGTCTGAAACAGGTCTCTTATAAACTGGAGCCGGTAAAGGGGAGTTCACTCCAACCTCACCTTCTTGACCATCCATCCCAGTTGATATAGACTAGTAGACGCCTGGTGAAATCCCTATGCGCATCAGGGTGGACGTGTCTGGATGAATCAGGAGACCATCATCTATGTAAAACTCAGACCGGGTGTTCCTTAGGCGTAAAGAGGCAGCTTTTGGCTTGGTTACTGTTTAAATAGCCACAGGGCTACTGAAATGCCAAACTGCAGGACTGCCCATTACAGGAACCTGAGGAGCCTGCAGTCGGAGGGATGGATAGGTACATGCAGGTACGCATCCTACACAATGAGGCTAATCAGAAAATCGAAAGTGTTGATGCTTGTCCTGAGCATGTCTTAAGGTGGACGCTCGAGGTAGCGCTCGTCTAACACGGAGATATTGTGGATCATTCGCATCTTGTCTTTTTTGGGTACAAGGAAGATGGTATTGCTCAAAATCTACAAGTCTGGGAATGGTCTAGATGGTTCAGGTTAATCTCCGATCGTCCTGCTACATTGTTAGGGTTGAAGACACTAGTGCCAATGATGGTTGAGTAATCTCCTGATTTCTGTCTCCAAAAAGGCAAATCTGGCATTTGGGAGCTTAGGCGTAGTTGGGTTTGAAGAGCCAATCTGCAAGTTTCTCATCCAAAATGTTGTCCTGCTCTGCTGCAGCGAAGTCATGGATAGGGAAGTCATCTTTCCTGGACTTTGGCGCCTTGAACCATGGTGCAAGTGTCAACCTGGAAAAGTCTTCATCCAGCACCCTGACCATGTCCATTAGGCTAAGCCACTGCCCCTGAAAGCCCTGAAGATGTAGTCATAGTTGATGCGTCCGGGGATGCATAGGTAGACGCTGGCTCCAGCCCAGTAGAAGCATCTTAAGACGCATACACCAGCATCGCTGGGACCGTTACTGTGGAGGCCAGGGATGCCCGAAAATTAGAGACAGGTGCAAACAATGGTGTCTGGCGCTGTAGTAGGCGAAGGCAAATGTCGGCAGTCCCGAGAACCATAGATAACACTCCAACCGATGAGGGTTAAGTGGTGATAAACCGGGGAAGGGTGGCTGGAAGCGTCCTGGGACTCTGAGATCTTCCTCACAACAAGATGGGCTGCTGTAGATTATGTATGTGTGTGACCTGTATATAAGTTGTGAAACTCGACGGAGAAAGGTGAGCAAAAATTATATTTAAAATTTGGACTGCATACCCGAGTGCAGTCCAAACAAAGTGGATGAGGATGTTCAGAAGATACATCACCCATCACAGACGAAAGTTCACATGGAAGGGTAAAGCTAGCCACAAAATCAAGCCAAAAGCTGGAGGAACCAAATGAAGCACAACTTCCCAGCAGGAAAACAAGCAGGAATGTGATCAGATGTGACGTCATGGATGGTCACATGACAGTGGCGATGGGTCCTACAAAAAGTAGACTGAAGATGGAAACAACCTTTTTCTTCACATAGGACCATTGTGAAGCGCTGTCTTTCTTTGTTGTAAGGTAAGCAGTGATATGCATTAACCCTTTGGCCCCGACTGCCCGATTTATTGGGCAGCATAAACCAGTGCCAAGTCCACGGCTGCCCGATAAATCACAAAATGACACGTCATTCCATGGAATTTCCCAGTCTTTTTGGCGCGATATGTTACCTGTTTTCGTGACAGGTATTGTTTCTTGCTTGAATCAGTAAATCTAGTGTAATGGCGGCCAACTACGATTCGGATAGCGATCAGATGCCTAATAACAACTTTATCGGGAATAATTATGTGTTTGATTTGAATAATTTACGCGAAGGGGAGAGGGAATTTCGCAAATATTTTGGTGAAGATTTTGTTTTGACAAGGTGTCCTTCTCCCCCCTCCAACTTTCAAGAATGGGAGTGGCAGTGGGACTACAACAGTGGAGACATGAGGGGTTTGGAAGAGGCGACCGGACTCAAGAATACTTATTGACACGGTGAGGAAAGAGTTGTGCTATTGATTTTTTCCAACTGTTTTACAATGATTCTGTGTTTGAACAGATTATCAGGCCGACGAATGAGAATGCAGCCTACATGAGAACGAGCGATCACAACCACAACAAAGGTGAGTGGCATGACGTATGTCTTTCTTTTTTAAAAAAAATTATTTTTCTGATCGCAATCCGAATTGTAGTTTGACGGTTTGTCATATGTCCTTGTATTATGCTCAATTTGAATAAAGTTTATTTCCATATTTATGTTTGTTTTCTTGATTTTTACATCTCAGTTTAAATTTTAGTAACTGTAATAATTATTTATTTATTAATTGATTTAATAAAGTACTGATTAAAATTATTATGCAATTGTAAATAGCAGTGTATTGTAAATATGTTATCACAACTTGTATATTTGCAGAACTTGAATTTACGATCTTTCCGTCCTTTTACAATCTTTCCCTCCTATCAGATCAATCTGTGATATCTTCCCTGTGATTTCATTCTTATTGCAGCTGTGGTTCAATGTTCAGGTAATGTGATAAATTACTATTTAGCTACTTAAATACTTAATTTTTGTTTCAAATCCAGAAAAAGAACAAAATATATCTGATATTTGTGTTTTTACCTGTGTTAACGAGTTTATCTGCGTTTAGAAGTTTACCTGTGTTAACGAGTTTACCTAAGAGGCTGTAAGTGTATCATAAGTAATATGTGACATCAGTATAGAAAACAAAGTCAGTACCAAGTGTTGTAAACTTGTTTATTTGTTTACAGATGTCCATGAAGAGGATTTACCTGTAACACCTTGGATAACCTGTGCCGTCCAAGATGACAAGACCACCGTGTTATGTTTACCTTGCATCTGTGATTTATTTTTGTGATGTTTAATACAATTTGAGCTGAAATTCATTGTCTGTTTTCATTTTTTCAGTGTTTTCAAGTTTTATTTCACTTGTAAACACCTGTAATTAGAAAATAACAAAGGTTAGAGACAATAACAACAAAGAATATTACAGTATACTTAATCCTCTTTACAATGGTATATGATAAATGTATATTAAAAGCAAGTTTCTGGTGGAAAAAGATGTTTCACGTGCAGAAAATGCATGTGCATCAAAACTGTGTTACATCATGTCGTGTTACATTTTGTTTTGTTTTATTTAGGTTGTGCTTGCTATTATGTCTCCCTCAGTCCAACAATGATATAATTGATTTCTTTCCTTATCATATATGAATGCTACACTCACTATTCATGCGTTAATGTCTCTCAATATCAATATCACATGTGCTTCTGTTTTTGAGGAGTACAATATAACTATGCATGAAAAATCTCACTTACAACTGCTGGCTTTTCCCATTTTGCAGTGAACTGTTCTTTGGCTTCAGCAAGAAACTGTTTAACTGAAATAAATAAACAAGTATTAAAAACAAGTAGCGAGTGAGTTGGCTTTAGCATGCATAATACCACTTTGAATATTATTTCCATTATATGCGAGTGTGGCAGCTCAATGTGTAAATACAGTACCTGGTCTTACACATTTTAGCACTATAGTGAAATCTTTAAGCATAGGTATGGTGCCGACATCCAAGGATCATCAGAGTGAATATGGGAATCCAACCCACAACCGTGGCACTAGGAGGAGACAAAACACATTTCACTAATTGACTCTTTGAAAGAGACAAATACACTTTGTGACTTTTTTGTACAGCATGCTGCGACAAAATCAGATTTGATGCTAGATTTGCCAAAATATGGGCCAACAGACCTTATTGTTCACCCAGCAATGATATGGTGAAATACTGATATCTTTACGGAGCTGTCAGAGTGAGTGAGTGAATGAGGTTCAGTGATATCACATGATCATCAGATGTCAAAAATGTCAAAGCCCTATAAACATGATAAAGTGACACTTAATGTAATGGGCTTCACAATTTGTACCCATGGACCTATAAATAGCAACCAATTGTGCATGTTTTATTTGTGTGGGATTTGGTTTGTTGTTTAACTCTGCACTCAGCACTATTCCAGCTATATGACAGCGCTCTGTAAAATAATCGAGTCTGAACCAGACAATCCAGTGATAGGATCATAAGCATCGATCCACGCAATTGGGATACGATGACATGCATCAACCAAGTCAGCGAGCCTGACCACCCGATCCCGTTGCTCTTACTCCTTCATGTTACTCCTAAGGCGACACCATTTCACGCCTGAAGTCGTCGATTGACGCCGATTACGGTATCATTTAGTGCAACCAACTCAGTAAGCACTCCATTTCATGTCATGTAGTCCCTGCAGTCTCCTAATATTAGTGGTCGAAACAAAGTTTCAACTTTTACAACAGAAAACACATAAAATCATAATAAGTCCAGTCAGTCTACGATTTGATGGTTTGGCCTCTTAACCAATTCTGGCAGAAGCCATTGTTATTGCAAAACAATGGGAATACATGTAAATTAAACACAAAAAACCGAGAAAATCTGAAACGGGGATTATAGTGTATATTGCAACTAAAATGTGCAAAATAATTATGAAAATGTACAGGTAATATGCCATGTACAGGTAAAGGGAGACTCTTGTTTGAAGCGAATTAACACTGAATGATAATGTTTCCAGTAATTGGTGACCGATTCATAAATTTATCATATAACTTACCATTAACAAATAAAACATGTTTGTGCATGTTTTAGTGTGTTGTTATTATTATAATAACCATGCATTCCTCTGCTAACCATACATGACAAGGGCAGCTTCTTTATGCACATATGTTGTTACATGCTTAGTTTTAGTGAATCATTAGCTTAAGAAATTAACAGATATCTTGATTGCATTTCAACCACAATCAAATGATTATTTTATTAATATTGGACAGCATTATAATATTACTGGACAGCATGCTAGCAAAGGTACAGTATGTTTGGCATGTTTGGGTTTTGATTTGATTTGATTTGATTTAATATAAACCCAGTGATCTATCATGTATCTACTCATCTCAATTCTTGAGTATAGAAGCCAGGCAGCATGGTGCTCATTCCATCCAGACCTTTGACCAACTATCAGAAGGCCCTGATGATAATCGCAAGTGAACCACCTTCCAGTTGTCTACAGTCGATTGTACATGTGTTGGCAACCTCATATGCGGTTCTGGTCTACAGGAACTGCTGGAAACACTATACGCTCCAACCAGTCACTGCTTAGTGGTAAAGCTGCAACCAGAGCTGCCAAAGGCATTTCCTGGTAGATACTACACTGAATGCCCATTATGTTGTCAAAAACATTCCAGTATCAAATCCCTACATATGGAGACCTTACATCAGTAATGAGGCTTCTTCAGATATTCAACAACACCCTACTGTAGATTTCCGCAATGTCAATCCTGTCACAGCATGTACTGTTGATATGGATTTAGATCTTTGTAGTTCCCTGGCTGAATCTACTGGGGATGTTTTGTTTGTTTGTTGTTTCACGCGGCACTCCAATATTCCAGCAATATGATGTCAATCCAGTGATTGACATCATGAGCATCGATCCATGCAATTGGGATAGGATGGCATGGAAAAATCAAGTCAGCGAGCCTGACCACCAAATCCCATTAGACGCCTCTTACGACAAGCATAGTGGCCTTTTATGGCAAGCATTGGTTGCTGAAGACCTATTCTAACCCAGATCTTTATTGAGGATGTATCCAACAACAACCTTTCAGAAGCAGCAAAGATATATGACATGCCTCTAAATGACAAAATCTCAGCAGGGTGCGTATGTGATGTGGTTGTTCCTGACCAGAGTTCTGATAGAACTGGATACCTACAAAAGAATTGTTGGGAAATATACAAACAATTAATAGAATTCTATGCTCTAAGGAAGGTTCCTGCAGAAAAGGTATTCAAAAAAGTGATCAAGCCAGATCAACCACAAAATTAGACAAAAACGACAAAGTCCTGGTTTGATGGATAAATAGTTTTAACATACATGTTGACCCTGCACTAAGCAATATTCCAGCTATATGACGGCGATCTGTAAATAATCAATTCTGGACCAGACAATCCAGTGATTTACATCATGAACATCGATCCACGCAATTGGGATATGATGACACGCAACAACCATGTCAGCGAGCCTGACCACCTGATCCTGTTAGTCGCCTCTTACGAAGCATAGTTGCCTTTCACGGCAACTATGGGTTGCTGAAGACATATTCTACCCGAATCTTCACAGGTTTCTGACAAAGCGTAAAGCAAAAGATAATATTTTATGACTTTCTCCAACCTAAATTTTCGTAGACTTTCAATATATTATTTTCGCTAACTATCACAATAATTAAAAGGTTAAAAGTGGAAACATTCATGTTTCCCAGGAATTGCGTCCCCAATGAAGACAGGATATTTTGCAAAAAATCTAAGAACATGTAGCAGGGAACCAGCTCTGGAAAAAATAGAATTTATGACACCAATTTTCTAAGAGTCTTAATTAGTATCTCTTAGATGATGAGCTTGCAAAATCTCTTGAGCTTCAGTAATTTTCTAAGAAAACTTGACCCCATTTCACTTCTCTCTCTAACATTTCATATCTCTAAGGGGCACTGGTGGCCCAGTCGTCTAAGGCGCCGGGATTCGCTGTGTAGAGTTGCGTCCCTTGGGCACGCCAGAAACCTATAATTGCGGGTTCGAAACCCGGTTCGCCCCGATTATGTTTCTAGTTTTGTCAGCACCATACCTGTGCTCATGGGTTTCACCGAAGTGGAAGTCTGAGACCTGCATCACTTCCGGCTTTCCTCCCACACTAAGCTGACACGCCGCGATATGACTGGAATTCTGTTAAAAGCGGCGTTAAACCCTACTCACTCACTCACTCATATCTCTAACTTAAATGTTTTTTTCAAAAATGTTCGAAATACTAATGAATACATATCACAAAACGTTTAAAATACCAGTACATCGTGTGTCAAAAGCAGGCATATTTTCACCTAATTGGTTTTACTTAGCAAAGTGTACATAAGCACAAGTACCAAGTTCTGAATGACAAGGTTGATTGGTTGGTTGCTTTTTTTAACGCCACACTTAGCAATATTCCAGCTATTTGACGGCGGTCTGTAAATAATTGAGTCTGGACCTGACAATCCAGTGATCAATATTATGAGCATCAATCCACGCAATTGGGATCGATGACATGCATCAACCAAGTCAGCCAGCCTAACCACCCGATCCTGTTAGTCACCGGGATCGGGTGGTCAGGCTAGCTGACTTGGTTGATGCATGTCATCGATCCTGAATGACAAGGAACTGTTCTGACAGATGTACTGTATTTCACATGCACCCACTGCTGACGTGTCCTTTGTCAAGTTGGCAGCTTTGATGACATTAAATCACCTCTCATTATAATGGCCAAACAACTATCAATATGGTTGTTCGAAAAGGTGTTGTACATAGTTTTAGATCTTTTATTATCAACCAAAACTGTCTCCCACAGGAGATATGCTTGGGTGAGATCAAGACATATCTACATTGCAGATATCACTGCAATGAAATTGCATCACAATGCTTTGCAAGTCATTGTGACATCATTGGTTACCATGACGTCACAATCAAATGACATCACTAATGGCTCGGCTACTGGGCCACATTCCTCAAAGCGATCTTAGCGCTATGGTGATCATAAACCCATGTTAAAGTATGGGACTTATGATCACCTTAGAGCTAAGATCACTTTGAGGAATGGGGCCAAGAAGCAGTAAGCATTACTTTTTACACTTAAGACACTGCTTATTACTGTCTTCAAACTGAAAAAGTTGAAAGAATGATGTTGGATGATAAATAAAGTCTCACCCTCATGTCTTTTGATATAAAATATATCAAGACACGTTGGTGCAAGTGGAAAAACTCGACAAGCATCAGTGGGAGCATTGATATGTTTGATATCAAAAGACACGAGGGTGAGATTCTCTATTTATCGGACAAGTAAATTTTAGCTGGACCGGTATTTTGGTTTTGCTATCGGCCCACATGACCGGCAGATAAAATGCCACCAGAAACACTGTAGATCATGGGGGGAGTAACTTGAGCGTCAAGACATTAGCCCATTACGACATATCACAAAAAGTGTACCGGTACTTTATCGCAGGACTTCGATCTTTTAGAGAAGCATCTCAGAAATCGCAATACATGAATCATCACTGCAATAAATTGCAATATGGAAGTCAGGCCAATACCCACCACTTGTTCTTAGGTGTGAGTTTAGTTAAAAAAAGAAAATACAGTAAAGAATGTTTCTAAATTGTGTTAGACTTGTTAGACATGTTAGATGAACCAAATGAAAAGTAGTAACACTCAACTTGGGATGAGAAATTCTTGTCAATTTCACTATGAAAATATCTGATATGTAGGGGAAAGAATACTTAAATTAT